GAGAGAGGGGATGCCAGCCAGTCTTGACTGTGGCTTTGACAAGTGGGAGATGTCACTGGTCTTTCCTGGTGGAAAGATGAGCCGGGTAGGAACCCGTCTCTCACCTCTGGTCTCTTATCTGGCCCATGTCTCTAGTCTGGGTGACTGTGACAGGCTTCAGCTCCCTGGCTGCCCACGGAGCCTCCCTCCTAGTCACACTGCATGGCTCCCCATCTCCCACCAGGACAAGCCTGGTACTCTAGGGCCCTAAATTCCCCCCACCACCCACCCCTAGCCTTGCCTGTCTGCACAGCTGTTACTTTTTCTCTCTTCTCACCCTAGTCCATCCACACTTCTGCTTCCGAAACTTCCCAACATCACGCTGTATCTCTGGGCCCTCCTGCTCCCTCTGCACAGCTGGTCTCTCGGCTCACGCCCTGCTTCCAGCCTCTGCTGAAATGCCTCCTTCTAAAGCAGGCCTGGCCTCCCACTGGACTGTGAGCTGTGCCTCCCCCCACCCCCGTCATCCACTCTACTGGTTCGTTTATTTTCTGTCTCTCCTTGCTGAAAATAAGCTCTATGAGGGCAGGGATTTTTGTTCATTGTTATATGGCCAGCGTCTAGACATGTGCTTGGCAAACAGTAGATGCTTACCGTTGACTGAATAAATCCTTGCATGAGGGTATAAGAACATGTGACTTATAAGACCAAACAGGCTTTACTGAGCAGTGAGTGTGACTTCACCATAAAACAAGGTAAATGAGTTTTGAGACCTTAGGCAGGAATGCTGGGAGGCTAAGAAAAACATCAAATCTCAGAGCATTTTTATAAATGATGAATGCTGCCCTGGCCAGTTTGGCTCAGCGGTTAGAGCGTCAGCCTGCGGTCCAGAGAGATCTGGGTTCGGTTCCCGCTAAGGGCACGTAGCTCGGTTGCAGTTTGTCCCAGGCCCTGGTTGGGTCGTGTGGGTGGCAACCACTCGACGCGTCCCTTTTACGTCGATGTTTCTCTCTCTCTCTCTCTCTCTCTCTCTCTCTCTCTCTCTCTCCCTCCCTCCCTCCCTCCCTCCCACTCTATCTGAACAAAATATGGAAAAATGTCCTTCGGTGAGGATAAAAAATAAATAAATAAATAAATGATGAATGCTCCCAAATCCTAAGCTGCAATTACAATGTAGCTTTCAGTGGTCTTAAAGATGAGCTAAGAAACATAAAGATTTAACAATTATGGGAATCAATTTTCATCTGTAAGTGGATTCAGCTTTTCCCAAGTCAAAGACATGAATGGGAATCTGAGAGTTAAAAGAAAATCATTGCAAAGTCTCTACTTTCTAGCCTGTCACTCATGCAACAGGGGGCGTGGACTGGCCTCTCTTTTCCCCCTTGGCCCTTTATGGGACACCGAGAAAATAATAACAAGAATTTGCAATATTTGGCAACCTCTGGCAGTTAGGTATCTTAAGAACTGTTTTTCCTATAAAGACAATGTCGCAGAAAATGTGTCCTTCCAAGTAAACAAAAATGGTAACCAATAGTTATTTTGTTGAAGTGATCTTCTTGAAGGTGTTCCAGTCTAAGAACAAGGTATAGGACCATATTAAGCAATGGGTTTTTAATACCTTCCCTGCTAAAATTTGTGTACACACACACACACACACACACACACACACACACACCCTGGAGTGACTAGCAATTGCCAACAAAGCTAGAAGAGAAAAATCAAATACTCTGCCTATTTTCACATGGTGTCCCAAAGCCGTTCCTGATTAAAAATTGTACCATTTCAATCTTCTTACAGGAGAGATCTAGGACTGCTTAGGAAGCCAATGAATGTACTATGTAATTACACGTATCCTAGACAAATTTCTTCTCAATGACCCCTATTCACAGAAATAAACCAAAGAGGGATGCCTGGCTCATTATACACCTACATGAAGATTTCACTGGGAAAAGGTATTGAGAGCAAAGTCCAGAAAGATTTTAAGCTTCACCTGAATTTAATTTCAGCAGGAAGTAATCTCCTCTTTTCTGAACTCCCAACGCATTTTCCGTGAATCTTCCCCGCGGCACGTAATGTTCTCTCATCACTAAGTACTGTGAGACCTTGGACAAGCCACCTCCATTCTCCCCACCTCCCCGTTTTCATCTGTGACCTGAGAGGCTTGAAACAGGTGACTTCAGAAGTCCTCCAGACCAGGTGTTTCATCATTTCGTCATTATGATCACAAGAGCGCACCTTAGCTCACCTCTCCCCTCGAGGCGAGGGGGCATCCGACTGACCTCTGGAGTCGCCACACTATCTAGAACAGAACTTCCCCTAGCAAGTGCTCAACAAACAAGTTCAAGAACACAGAAAACAGTATAGTCTTTCTGAAATGTCCGCTCTCTGCCCTTTTCAAGCCCTTTCCAACCCCAAACATGATTTTAACCCAAATGGCCCTCTTCAAGTCCACCTTAATTCACCTCTGGCAGGGTCCTAAGGAGGCCAGAGAAACAAACATATCACTTGTCACCTGAAGGAGTCACTTGGAAGAAATGCACCACGAAAAAGTTTCAAGGCATCTGACCCAACGTCAGGCGTGTGGCCAGAGACCTCAAGAGAGTCCCATTCCGAAGAGCTAACACATGCCAGCCGTTGAGGGTCTGTGTAGAAAGATGCAGCAGACACTGAGGAGAGAGAAGTGAGGGCATCGGGACCTGCAAGGAAGAGTGAGAAGAACATCCCCGTAACCTATGCAGAGGTAGGCATCTTTAAAAATCCAAATCCTAGAAACATCTCTATGGCAGGGACAGGGAACGCCTGCTCATGAGGCATTCATTCAGCCAAAGCTGTTAGGACTCTGAAGCCAAAATGCCTAGGTTCAAATCCTAGTTGTACTAATTCATAGCTGTGTAGCCATGGAAAAGCAAATCATCCTTCTGTGCCTCGGTTTCCCGATCTGTAAAATGAGGATAACAGTAGTAATTCATTCATGGGGTTGTAAAAATTAAATGAGTTAATGCATGTAAAATGCTTATACCATTGGCTGGCACATAGTAGGTGCTCAATACAAGAGAGCTCTCAGTATTGCTATTATTATTAGAGAGGCTTCTGGGAATCTCAAGGGTTACAGATCCCAATCTTACAGGTCCTCCTCCAGGTGATAACAGGGTAAACCTTTATATATTTATATGTATTTGTACACTTTATCAGTCTTAACTACTCTCGACCACAGAAACTATTCATTAAAATTTAAATTCCTTTCTGAGAGATATTCTAGATTTCAAAAGCTACTGGGTCACCCACGCTCTGGGAGGACAATGGGACTATTAAGCTGCAGGCTGGGAGGACCTGGAGCAGCACAAAGACACCTTTGTAGAGTCCCGGTGACCACGTCCCACTGCCTCAGGTTCAGAGCATCGCCGTCCTGAGCAAGAAGCTAACAAACTCCGTTGCTGGTTCACATCGGAGGTCTCGGAGGCGATAGTTCCTAAACCTCTGGCGAGGCCGTACTAAAGATCAGAGGATCTCCGTTCCTTCATTAGGACAGCATCAAATCCCCCTGCAGCAACTGTCCTGGGTCAGCATCACTGCCTGAGATACCAAGGAAATGGGTGAAACTTCCAGCTGCCGAACTGGTTCCTTATTTCAGGCTGAAGGCATAAAGAATATTCTGAGAGTGGGAAATGGTAAGGGATTTAAAGAAAACCCTGAGGATTTCTTTTCCACATCCCTTTTTCCAGAACAGTCATTTTAGTAAACAGAAAAACTGACAACAACCAGATCCAAGGGAAAAACCAGTTGTCAGAAAACAATAACCCTTAAAAGTTCCAGTTCAGCCCTGGCCGGTTTGTCTCAGCGGTTGGAGCGTCGGCCTGCGGTCTGGAGAGACCCGGGTTCGGTTCCTGCTAAGGGCACGTATCTCGGTTACAGTTTGTCCCTGGCCCTGGTTGGGTCATGCGGGTGGCAGCCACTCGATGTGTCCCTTTCATGTCGATGTTTCTCTCTCTCTCCCTCTCTCTCCCTCCCACTCTATCTGAACAAAAAATGGAAAAATGTCCTCGGGTGAGGATAAAAAAAATAAAAATTAAATTAAATTAAATTAAAAAGTTCCAGTTCATTCCCTCATGGGATATCTAGAACTCTGGTTTTCCAAGCATCTTTCAATACACAAGTGGAAGAGATAAACAGGCAAGCGAGCTAACCCTATCTCTTGTATTCCTCTGTCAAATGATCAGGCAGAAAGGAAAGTTGGCAGTGGTCACTCTGTGTCAGCAGATTCAACTACCTTGTTAATCCTGTTCTGAAAACCAGCAGAGACCCTAAACACACAGAAGCTGAACAACAGAAGGAAAATTGGGATGAGCACAGAAGAATGTAGCCTACGATCTGTGCTCCGAGGGGACCGGGTTTGAGGAAGTGCGAGAACAAGTTCGCCACACCCATGCCATGAGGTCCAAGCCCGGAACGGAGGGGTGCTGGACGTTTCGGAGTAGAGCGCACTGTCTGCTAACAAAGCCCGCCTCGATGGCTTCTGGCAAGGACGGCCGGTAGTCAGGACAGGAGGAAGCCAAGAACAGGTCCGCATTTGACAAATCACTCCCAGCAAGACAGTGATATCAACCATAATAAAACATGCTGGCAAGACTGGAAACGCGCACCTGTGGGAACCTGCAAAGATTTGACAGATTTTTGTTTTCCCAGCCCTTTATCAGCAAATTAATTAGAGCAACTGTACAATCTACTCTGCACTTTAGACAAAGGCACTTGACTCCCCGGGGCACAGGAGGGACAGAATGACAGCTGGGCTTACACGCAACAACGTTTTCTCTGTGCACAGTATGACAATGAAACAGACGGCACAGCTGGAGGAGAAAGCGGTGTGCTCTGCAGGTATGAGGCTGTGGCCAACCTAAAGAGGACACACACACAACATACACATACACACAAACACACACACACACACTCATGTGTACGTCCAGGGCCCACACAGCCTTAGTCATGCTACACTCAGGGCTGCTGGTCCCCTGAGCGGACTGTACCTTCGCAGCTGTGACTGTACACCGCCACCGCCGACCTGTCCACCAGATTCTCATCATGGTGCCAGCTCAGTGCCATCTTCCCCATGCCAAAATAAGGTTCCTCTTTCAGGTAGGGCATTTTCTGGGGATCCATGAAATTCAGCAAAGTCACATTGTACGCAGATCTGTTCTTAATGTCCACTTCGTCTGGTCCATCAAAAACCCCCATTCCAGCCCTGGGGAAATCAGGACCGATGCACACGGGCACGACGTCGATGTTCGCGCGTTCTTTGGCCACAAGCTCCTCCCAGGCCTGGATGGTCTTGATCTGCAGGAAGTGGTTGAGCTTGAGGAGGGCCTGACAGGCAGCAGCTACTCCTGCCTCGTGGTATTTTATGTTGGAGCCCTTCACCGGCCAGGGCACCGTGAAGAGCCTGGTGTTCAGGTACTTGTAGGTGCAGCCTGGGTTGCCGATGAGGATGCGAGAGACCGGAGTGAGCAGGTCTTTGCCTTGGATCCTCACCAGGTCCCGGGACAGGCAGCCACACTTGTGCAGCGTGGCAAAGGCCTCCTGAACCTCCCTGTGGAGCTCCTCAGGGACGCCACCAGCTTCACGCAGGATGAGTTTAGGGTATTTCAGCTGCCACTAAAACAAACCAGAGTGAAAGTGAGTGTTATGGATAGCATTGACTTTGGTATTGGCAACAGTATGTTTCTTTGTAAGCATTAGGGGAAGGTAAGAGAAGAGGATTCAGAGCCCTCTAGCCTAAAACAGAAGACGGAGTTAAACACACGTCACCAACTCCACAGTCAGGATTTTCAAGTCCAAGTGCAACTAGCAATCTTTAATATATAAACAAAATAACCTAATAACTTGGGCTTTGGTCTCTCAGGCTCCCTCTATGAACACTTCTCTCCATCTTTAATCTGTCCTCCAACCTTTGGCCTCCTGCAAGCACAACTGTATTAATTAACTGCTTGCCACCTGTGTAGGGAGTGCTTACTATGTGCCTTATACTGTTCCAGAGCATGAGTTCTCTTTCTTTTTCTTTTTCTCAAGATTTTTTATTGGGTTTTTGTTTGTTTTTTGTTTTTAAGAGAGAAAGGAAGGGAGAGGAAGAGAGAGAGAGAGAAACATCAATGTGAGAGTGAGACTTAGATCGGCTGCCACCTGCACGCCCCCTACCGGAGACCATGTCTGCAACCCGGGCATGTGCCCTGACCTTTCCGTGCATGGGAACACGCCCACCCAGCTGAGCCAGCCGGGGCAGGGCCAGAGCACGAGTTCTTAACCACTAGATTGCATAGCCTCTCAACAAACTAGTTTCTTAAAGAGCCGTGGCAGTTTTGTTCACAACTCTACTACCAGCGTCCAGAACGTACTCACTAAATTCTGAATGAGCGAGCGAGCGAGCGGGTGCGGCATCCCACTGCAATTCAGAACATTGTAGTAGGTCTACCGACGTCACGGGAGGGAAGTCTGTAAGCTGAGTCTTTCTAACACAGAAACATGGGTTCATCGGTGCAGTTGGGCTGCCTTTTCGCCTCACTTCTGCCTCCTGACTTGCCATAGGAGTTGGTATCAAGCCAGAGTCCCCCAGCTCTCCCCAATGAAACAGGCTTCTGTTTTTAAACCAAAGCACAGGATTTTATATTCATCCCTATAAAATGTGATGTGATTGGCTGCTTCTTAGTGCTGTGCTGCCCACCACTTTGGACACCTAGTCCTTCTATGTCTTCATTCAGTAATTACTGTTTATATGATAAATAGGACAAGACCATTTATTCTCCCAAACTTCCTCTTTCATTCAAAATATGTCTACAGAGCACCTACAAAATCCTAGACTGTAGGTTCCTGCCCTCACAGAGCTTTCTACCAAATCAGGGAAATAAGTCAGAAAAAGTAATCCCAAGTTGAGCTAAGTACTAGGCCAGAAACAAACCATAGGAAATCCCAGAAACAAACCATAGGAAACCCCAGAGCAGGAAAGGGGCTCCGAGGGCCGGCCTTTAAGCTGAGAGCTTCAGGGAAAGAAGGTACCAGCCGTGTGGCCAACTAGGGAAAGAGCATCCCAGGAAGAGGGGCCGAAAGTTACGAGGGCACTGAGGATGGAGACCAGCCTGTTCGGCAGACAAACGCAAGCCAGTTTTACTAGAGCAAAAAGGCCAAAGGCAAAGTGAGATGAGATGAGGATGAAGAGGGAGGCAGAAGGTCAAAGTAAGGACTCTGGACTTGACGGTAAGTGTCCTGGAAGGTTCGCGGGGAGAAGAGTAATTGATTGTCACTGATAAAATCACTCTCAGTTAAAAGGCCGGGCACGGAACGGAAAGGGGCAAATATAAAAGTGGAACACCCGCTTAGGTCTGTTCCACCCATCCAGGAGAAAGGTGAGGCTGGGCTGGGTCAGAGGCAGAGGCAGAGATAAATGGACAGGTCGACCACACATGTAACTGGCAAAGCGAAAGGATGTGCTTCTGCATCAGATGTGAGGGATGACGAAAGGACAGAAGGTATGGGTGACTTCCAGATTTTAATAAATGAATAAACAATGTGCTATTATTTGAAATTTAAAAAAAGACTGGGCAAAACAGAAATGGTGGGTAGGAGAACAGAGAGGAACGAGGAGCTCCATTCTGGAGCTGGAGCTGCTAAGATACTTATAAAGTCCTCAGGTAGAAAGAGATACATGGCTATACACACTGGAGCTCAGCGGAGAGAGTGGGCTACAGAAGCCAAGGTGCAAGGTGTCAGCACACAGCTGGATTTCAAAGGCCTGAAGTTAATGAGACTCTGCAGCACCTGCAGATGGGAGCTCAAAGCCATTTCCTGAGACGCAGAAGGCCCGGCAAAGGGGACCAGGTGGGAACCTGGACAGTGCATTCCTGCAGAAGCCAAGAGAGTGTTTCGTGAGGACGGGACAGTCGGTTGTATCGGCTGCCCCTGAGAGGCCACGTGAGGTGAGGACAGACACGACCCATCAGAGTTGGTGGCATGGGAATCACTGGTGACGAAGACAAGAGCAACGTCTGCACGGTGCGAGTCAGAGGAGAGTAGGCTGGTGGCGGATGAAGGAGGAGGGAGGGGGGATGGCACCCCTGGATGTCTGCGTGGTTCTGCCATGAGGGTGACAGAAAAACGAAGCTGCTGACGAAGGGGAACGCTGATCCGAGATGGTCCTTAACGATGGAAGAGAGCGGAGCACACTAAGTTTGTCAGTGTGCTCACGGGGATGTTAGAGGCAGGGCTGATGTCACAGAAGAGGTGGTGATGGACCCCAGGAGCAAAGTCCTTGAGTGTCTAGAGCAGCAGTCTCCCAAAGTGAGGTAGACACACCTAGGGGATCTGAATGGCAAGCCACTAGAGTTGAAGGGCAAGGGGAGGGTAGAACTGTTATTACTCATCTATGAAAGGAAAGAAATCAAGCTTCACTAAAGCGTGTGTACATACTGCAGGACTCAGCCGAGACATGGTGTGCTGCAGTCGCTTCGCGTCAGCTGGAGAAAGCTGACTGCACCAATTCCCGTCTGCAGAGTCAGCGATTCAGGCTGAAATCGACAATGGTGGAGATGCACACCAGGGAAAGCAGGAAACTAAACACCAAGGCTGTTTTCCCCACCAGAGAACCGACTGTTAACATTTAGTAGGATACTACTGTTAATGCTCAAAACTTGCTGCTGATAGGAGTGTCTGATCACAAACATTTGGGAAGGAGAAGAGATCATTCCTGTATTGGAAGCGGCTGGAAGGAAACAGAAGATACACATTCATAAGACCAAGTCTGGTAACAGCCAGAGGGCTAAGTGCCGAGGTCTGTGGGGGAGGCCGAGGAGTGCGTCCACTCTTCTGGTGAAAACATACAACGAATCACTAGCTAAGACTCTGTGCTGGTCGTCCAGGCTGTTTGCCGAACGGCTCTGGATTCCTCGCCCATCACCCAGGGTGGAATTCCACTTGCTGGCCCCTCGTGTTGGATGAAACACAGGACTAGTTGTGTTCAATGAGAAATGATGGCTGTCACTTCTAGCCTGGGGCATTTCGTCGTCAGTGCCAGGTCCTCCAGAACATTTCTTTCCCTTTGGCATAGTAACCAGCTGGTGGCTGCTTGAATTCCTGAGCTACTACTTTAATGGGTAGCAACTCTCTGCCAACCCACAAATGATGTGTGAAATGAGCAAGAAATATTGTTGGGTAAAGCCACTGAGACTTGAGGGGTGTCTGTTACTACAGCGTTACCTGGCCTATCCTGGCTGATCCAGAATGCAGGTCTGAGGAAGTAGGCAGAAGAATGCATTAAAGTCAAGTCTGAACAGGGAGAAATGGATTTTCTAGGAAAGCACACGAGGTGTGCTTTGCTTCTCAGACTGCCTATCTTAGGTGTGTGATCATAATTTAAAGTGACCAAGAGCAGAGTTAGGTGACATACCACTGCGGGCTGCCACGGAGATTGTCAGGGACCCGTTCACAGTCTCTAGTATCTACCCCTTGTTTATCACAATTGGAAAACGAAAGCAGAAACATCACACTTTCTGTTTACACAGCTCATGAAGGGAGCAGTGTAAACTAGGAAGCAAGAGACAAAACATTCTGGAGCCATGTTCAGTAACTAATTTTATTACTAAACTGGTTATCCTCTGAGCAAGTCCCCAAGGTCTTAGTATACTTAAAGTACACCTAACTAGCAGATGATTAAGGAGGAAATTTCCCCATACTTTAACAATTCTAGTGTTATTTTAATGGTCCTTGATGTAAAATATTAAATAAAATTAAGATAATTCCCAGTAACTTTGTTTTAGAACACACTGCTTCAGGGCTGAGAGAGGAAGAAGACAAGGAAAAGTACAAACACACACACACACACACACACACACACACACACACACCCTCTTGCTGGTATTGTTCAGTATGTACTGGGGCTGGAGACTATAGAAAATATATTTAACACAGGGGAACTATAACTATAAGGACCTAGGAAATTCACGTAACCATATGAGTATGACATGTAAATACCTCGACATTAAAAACTGCATTCTAAAAATAAAACAATAATAATGACATGGCAAAGTATTCAAAAAGATTTTTTCACTGATGTCTCATGTCCCTCTTCCTGACCACAGCTGCCTGTCTTCCCGCACTTCACCTGCCAGGCTCGGCCCACCTCTCTGCCTGGGGGTCCTCCTCGTCCTCCAGGTCATTTTCTCAAGCCTGCCCTGAGTTTCCCCCTCGGATGGGTACCCCTGTTACCATTCATCACACTTACCTTCCATAGCACTTATCAATCTGTAAGGGTTGGGCAAAGGTAGGTTTACAGTTGTTTGTATAAAAAACAATATAATTAATAAATAATAATACAAAACTAAAGTATGTTTCACATACAACTGTAAACCCACTTTTGCCCCACCCTGAATTATTTGCACTAATTAATAATCTCTCCTACTGGACTGCAGTCTCCTAAGAAAAGGAAACGGAAGCTGTTTTATTCTCCATAACACCCCCAGGACGTGGCTCAAATATAAGTGCTCAAGACTTCCTTATAAGACTAAAAGAATAAAAGCTTTAAGACTAATAAAAAGCATAATTGTGAATGTCTGGGCTGGGGGGTGGGAAATAAAACTGACTGCAAAGAGGCATAAGGGATCTTTCTGAGG